TATACATACAGTATCCAGAGAGGTTTCATAAATTATAATTTCTAGCGTAACTTATTATTTTGTTTGTAACAATAATTTTACATTTATTCTCATTCTCCACACACTTATTTATTATATAATCTGAAAGATACGAGGTAATTTTTTTTTATTATATTTAATATTACAATCTCTGTTCAACATTAATTTCCACGCACTAAAAAACTTGTTTATAGTGTTGATCACGAATTTCCTTTTGATGCGGGGTGGGCCCTAAAAGAGAATATGAAGCTTGGTAATAAAGGCGCGGGAAAGCGCATGAAAAAAGAGTATTACTGTATTTGCAAGGTTTTTTTTTAGCAGGAAACTTGAGAGTTGAAGATCGTTACTCACCTGAAGATATGCATGCCAGTTTAGAAGAATTGGCTGAAAAGGGAGAACTTGACTTTGAAAAAATACCGACAGTAAAAACAATAAAAGCTTGGATAGAAAGATATAGTGCAAATTTCAAAAAAGAGGCGTCAGAAAGAGCGCTGTCAGGAAATAACGATAATCATATTGCAGTAGTTAACGGGAGTAGTAAACGTCAAAAATTATATAGTTAAAATATAACTAAACATAGAAATTATGAGCAATATTATTATGAAATCTTTCTTTCCTTCATATAAAACTTCTTAACCCGCATAATAATAAACGTTTTATAAATATATGCTACACGGTCGAGATTTGGTCTCTTATATTAAGTGAAAATTTTATAAATTTATAATAATTAATGACTAGTCTTTATAGTAACGTTGTAGATCTATTTTATTTTTTAATTATAGATCATGCGCCTATGAAAATCTATTCTTGATATACGGATCTGCAATTAAATATTAATTTTAATAATATACTTTCTAAGCAAAATATATTTTTAAAATTTTACTTTTTTAACTTTATTAAAAAATTTTTTAAAATTATTAAAAAACTTTTAATTAATAGGATTTTATAATTTATTGCTATGGTGTTATATTGCTAGTCCCTATAAGTCACGTGGCTATAGTAATAATATATAGGATCAGCAGTTTGTATTACATAGGATCGGCAGTTTGTATTACATAGGATCGGCAGTTTGTATTACATAGGATCGGCAGTTTATGTTCCATAGGATC